CCCCAAAACCCCAAAACCCCAAAACCCCGTTATCCAAAATAATAATAATCTATAATTTGAGAGTTAATGATAATTTAAAATTTAAATTCAGTAAGTTAATGGAAAGATCTAAGGGAAAAACACAAAATTAAGCTTAAGCTTAATAGTTTAATAATTAGCAATAGTCTGAACTGCAGATACATCTGGCTAATAACTATCAGAGTTTGTAGTTAAGAAATCAAAGATCTACTTATTTATGCGAGGAATTAGAAAATATTATCTATAACAAGCTTGACAATTATAGAGATGAGACTGAATATAAATACAAAAAGCTAAAGCAGAAATAATTGAGTCTGGAACAGGAAAAAAAATTAGAGGAGGAAATTAATAAGAAGCTCTCTGGCCTAGATAAAATCCTAAATAAAGCACTCTCAATTAACCCTTCTATTTTCACAAATGGCTAACATGAAGAGGAGAAAATAGTGAATCAAGAAAACTCAAGTCATAATTAAAAACCAGAAAAGTCCACTATTCTTAGAGGAAAAAAGCCTATTTTATCTTCCTCCTAGGCATAATAAAAAACAGTAAAAGGCACCGTTGTTAAAAATAGCAATTAAGATAATTAAGCGAGTATAGTTAGCACCTTAACAGCAATGTAAGAGGAGCCAGAGGAATAGAGCCTTGATCTTTATCGTATCTACCGTAATGATAATGAAATAAAAACAAAAAGTTAAGCATTAACTAAAATAAGAGATCTTAAGAAATAATGTCGAGATTAAGTAAAATCTCTAATGCAATAAGAAGATACTATAAAATCTAAATGTGATCGTAAACTTAAGAAGCTAACATAGTTGAGTCGTCTAGCCAGGAGTAAGTATTAAATTGAAGTAAATGCATAGCAGTAAAAAAATCAAGAATATGAGCTCATTGAAATAAATTAACTTTGTGCGAATGTAGTCGAGCATTAAAAGAAATTAGAGAGTGGAAGTCTGATAATAAAAAGTGGAATACTTGAAAATAAGTTGAACTAGTTTTAGAATGCATAGAGGAATATAAGTTAGCAGTTCTATGACTATTATGCACTATGGGTCTTGAATAAAAGGCTTAGTGAAACATAGGAAGGGATAAAGAGGACTAAGGTGTTTATTATACAAAACATTGAGGTCCAAAGAGACTTGTTCAAAAACACCTTTATCATAGATTAAACTCTTTCTCTGGTGCCCAAAAAAACCTAGACTAATGAAGAAATATAGAATCATATTCTTGAGTAATGTGAGGATGAACTCTTAGAGCTCTATAAGGAGTCTCTAAAGAGCTTGAAAGCAAAGCCAATTAATGTTGAGACTGTGTCAGTAGATCAGCTTTTAAACTCTATTCTAAACAATAAATAACTCTTAGGTCTTTAGAAAAAGATCAGAGAAATTTTGAGTTGTTTGGATATGATTGAAGATTTTGATGTTCAAAGTAATACACTAGATTATGCAATTAAAATGCTTTAGGGTGGATTTAACGCTCTTGGTAATAGTGGGAATGGCAAAAATGCTGGAATAAAAGTTCTCTAGGAATTGATCAGAGCTGTTGGTGTAAGATAAAATGCACTTGGTAGTAATAATAGTACCAAGATGAAATATAATTTGATAATTTATCAATGATTTAACCCTAAATCTAAATCGAATAAAGATAGTTCGGGGTTTTGGGGTTTTGGGG